GGAAATTTTGCCTTAAAGATGTCATACAATACTTTATTGGACAAAGGAATTAAATTAGAGACTACTAACAAAATATCCAGGAGAGTCTTGAATTTTGAGTTTAGCAACACAAATTTGAATAACTACTGGGGAGTCATTGGGCCAAGGTTTTGGGAGACTGCTTTGCATTGATTCACAAAGTGATACAGCATGTAAAGTCACTAGTTTCCCAGGGAAACTTGTAGCTATTAGTGATTATTAGGAAGACAAAAGGCACCACTGTTGGCTGCACTTCCTTGTCAGCCAGGAAAGGAAGAGCAGAGTCCATGGAAGGAGTAAGAAAGATAGGAACAGATGTCACTGGGAAATGTTAACAAAGCCAAAAAGGAAGAGTGTCACAGCTGTACATTCTACACATGAATAAGGACTATTATAGACAGCTGTATTCCACCAACTATGACAGCTATCAAAGTAGATATAAGAACTAGGAAATCCAAAAATAGCCAGTAAAACATTCCTACAAAGAATCCAATATGGTTGATTTTTAGAAGAAAATTGATACTAGAATGAGTGGCTATCAATTATATTTCTATATACTAGTAAATAATAAGAAAATGAAGTTAAAAATTCCATTTACAACTGATAAAACCCCAAGATATTTAAAAAAATCTAAGAAACAAACAAACAAAAACCCCAAAAAACCCACGAAGTCTAAGCCTCTAGTCTGGAAACCATAAAATATCACTAAGATGGAACCAGATAGTGAAAGATCTATGTATTTCATTTGATACTACTGAGATGTTAATTTTTGCAGTTTGATCTAAGAGCCCGTCCTTCCCTAATTTATTTTTGCTGTTATGTGGTTGGTTTTGCTCTTCTGTTGAAGCTGACAAAACAACTTTAGACTGTAAGGGGCTGTGAGTGGCATGCAATACTTTAAAGGCCAGTTTGGGGTCTCCTGACTTAGTAATCATAAGGCACTGAAGTGTCATTTGGCTTTCAGCCTCTGTGATTTCAGAGCTTAGAGAAAACCCAAGACCTAGACATAAAGTAGTCTGCTGTGGCACTCAGCTTACATGCCTTTAAAACTAAGCAAGAGGTCTGGCTTGAGCAGACTTTTGACATCTATCTACACTCTAAATTTCTGTCACCTTCTAAAGAAACTGTTGTTTTCTTATATTCCCACCAAATGATGAGATTTTAATACTTACTAGTCTAAGGGACAGATCCATTATAGTGAGGTTGAATAGTGATTAACTTCGAACTCCCTGTATAAATGAGTTTTGCTTGTGTTGTTTTTCCTTTCTCCGTGATTCTTAACACCTGTTCTTAAGACAATTCTTGTATTTGTGTGTGTGTGTGTGTGTGTGTGTTTCAGTGACTGATCCTGAGGCCTGTTACATTGGCACTGAGCCATGGAAACCCAAAGAAGCCTTGGAGGAAAATGGCATTATTACTGACAAGGCAGATATGTTTGCATTTGGTCTTACTCTGTGGGAAATGATGACTTTATGTATTCCACATATCAATCTTCCAGATGACGACGATGATGAAGGTATAAATACAAATAGATTTTAACATAACCGAGTTTTGTTTTCTGGCAATTAGAACATAAAATTGTCTTTCCATTAAAATTCAAACAGCAAATTGGTTAAGATTACAGCAAGACTGATTGATTACCTTGGCTAGATTTAATCTCATACAAATGAGACACCTATTGAGAATAGGTACATAAGAGTATTCCTCCCTAGTAACCCCTCCACTCACAGATAGGTGGGGTATTTAGATGAAAAGTTTCCTTAACTTTTTTCTTATTTTACATATCCATCCCAGTTCCCTGCCCCCCTCTCATTTTCTTAACTTCTTGCTGGAGAGAGAATGTTTAATCTCTGTGGCAGGAACATTGGACAGACTGCCCGTGGATAACCCTGTCTTGTTGCATGAGCTGTCACATGGCCTACATGATTTTGCTTTTTTCCATCTCTAACTCCTTCATGTGCAGATGCAACCTTTGATGAGAGTGACTTTGATGATGAAGCATACTATGCAGCACTGGGGACCAGGCCATCCATCAACATGGAAGAGCTAGATGAATCCTACCAGAAGGTCATTGAACTTTTCTCTGTGTGTACTAATGAGGATCCTAAAGACCGCCCTTCTGCTGCACACATTGTTGAAGCTTTGGAACTAGATGTTCAATGATGCTTTTTGTGGTGGTCTAAGCAGGAAGCATAGCTTGTAGAGAACTGTTAACTCAGATGCATTTAGTTACTATGACCTGCAGTGGCTAGACTCTGGAAGTGGCTTATTTTAGGACCACTGTACCTAGTTAATATTTTGCATAATTTTCTGATATGTAATTTCTTATAAGCATTTATTGTACTGGATAATCTGTGAAGTTAAAACAAACAAACAAACAAAAAACTCCAGGGTATGTAGATGCTGCTCCTACTGATTTAAAACACTAGTCACCCTGTCTGAGATGACTTAGAATCAAGTGATCATTACTAAAGATCTTTTTAGATATTCTCTTTAGTGGGTTGTTAAAATTTTACTTTATATAGTACTAAGTTAATTTGTATCTGCTCATAAAATGTCCAGCCTTAGCTGGTCTGTTGGCTCATGTGCTTATTAAATGTTCCCTGCTCTTAGGGTTTTCAGACCCTGGTTACAGCTGCCTTGTATCAACTTAGTGTCTAACTTATTTAATATACTGTTTTTACTGACTGTATCCTAAGTCCTTAAAAGTTGTGATATAGTAATAAATAATAAATAAATAAATAAATAAATAATCTTGTGGCAACTGGGCTTGTGAGATGAATGTGCTTTTTCTTGAAACCTTGTTTTCTTATGTATAAAGTGAGATTAAATTGGATCAGTCGTTTGAGTCATAGTTAGCTCTCTTTGGAATTGCAAGAATTAACTGAATTGGTGAAACCAGGTGGTGTACTCAGACTTGGCCATAGGCAGAACTTAGATAATTCAGCAACAGATCATTAACTATCATTGTCCATTAAAACAGCAGGAAATTGACAGCAAATTCAAAGTTTACTTATGGAAAAACTGGGTAAATGTGAACACAGATTCAGTAGTCTTACCTACCCTTTCTCTGATGTATCATTTTTAGTACGTTTGTTCAAGTGACAGATCCTGTGCACAGACCATAAAGCATGAATTGGATCTAACACATAAATTAGCACTTTCATTGAGATTTATTCCCAGTTCCTACAGACATTTCATTTCCTATATATCATTTTATATTACTATACTTGTCACAATAAACCAGAACTGGCATGCAATTCAACTCCACACTTTATTTGGATTTATTGTTCAGTGACTTTTCTGTTCCAAAATCCCATTCAATTGCCACAATCAGGGATGTCACATCCCTATGACTACTACATTTCAGGGTGTGATGGTTTAGGAAAATGTACAATAGACCTCAACTGGGAGTTGTCTGATGTTTATTTCATATTCACATGGGCTTACTATATAAGGACTTGAGAAAGGTAAATAACTCATACAGAAAACCACATGGTGACACTGACTGTTGACCGATCACTAGCTGTCGTCATTGTTGGCAGGGCATCTGCTAGGTTCATTCTGTATACTCTCTGACCCAACAACTCCAGATTTTTGGGTTTTTTTTTTGACAAAGGTATTAGAAACAAGATCGATGTACATGAGTTCCACATGAGTTCCATATACTCATTGTTGTTATTAAATACCAACTTGTGTGTGTGAAACCAAACTGCAAACAAAGCAAATGTGTCAATAGCAAACTACAATGTACATTTAAAACCTAAGACATCAAATGAAGCAACGTATCTACACCCAAAGTAGGATAACAGGGAAACTATCTCTTTCAGCATACTATTTCTCTAGAATCTATACTTTTAGTTTTTGTTTTCAAAAGGCATTTATGATAAAAAATAATTTATCAGAGTACTAACAGGATTTTATCAATTCTGGGCCAATAAGATGGCTCAGTAGATAAAAGTGCTTGCACAGTCCTGACCACCTGACTTGGATCCTTGAAACCCATGGTAGGAAAGAACTGACTTCCAAGAGTTGTTCTCTGGCCTCCACATGGGCACCTTGAAATGCACACATGTACATACAAACATATTAATAATGACTATTATAAAAACAACTACAATTGATTTCTCACAAATCACTGAACAATGAAACAATATTAATAAAATTTATAATAAAACATTTAAAGAGATTTAGTGCAGAAAATAGCATTAAAATATTTGCGTAGTTACAGATACTTCCACATTCTTTTTGGAAATATTACAGGCAAATTAGACTAAAGTTGAACTGATTTTAAAATGAGCAATACAACCTAGAAACGTGATCCTTAAGAATAAAACAACCTGAGTAATTTTTTGCTTTACAAATGAGTATTATCCAAATTATACTAGAAAATCTGAGTGCACTCGGGTGTATAGCATATTCCATAAGATCATTATGTTCTTAGGTTCACTAGTTTGGTTCATGACTTCAATTATCTACCAGCATTTTCATGCAATAGAAACAGAAGATAACAATGCCAAATACAATGTTAATTAAATTTTGTGATAAGTGTGCTTTTGGTTAATTTTCTAAGGGATTAAAATATTAAAAGTTACAGAATTATTTTATATAAATGGATATGGGATAATGATTTCTGCTATCTTACTACAAATAGGAAATTAAAAATACTAATTATTTTCAACTTAGCTGCTACAGTCTGTTTATAAAGTGAGAATGCTACATAAGGAATTCAGAAATTATCTCATTGTCTGTGTTTAGATTTGTCTTTACTGATGGAACACAATCATGGTCTAAAGGTGTGTTCATGTGTTCCTTTATATTTTTGGTTGTGAGCCTAGCCTTTTAACGGCTGAGCAGTATCTCCAGCCCCATGTGTTCCTTTATAAAGTGGCCCAGTTTCTGCAGAAGTTTTCAAAATTAAGAATTCAGTGTATCCAAAGATCTTTTTTTTCTTTGAATCCCAAACAGTTCAACAAACCATCTCTCTAACATATAAGTAAAACTGGTAACATGTACAAGTCTTATAATTTTCATTCTGATATTAATTAGTTTCAAGCTGAACTTCTCCACACAGTACCTGTTTGTGGTTACAAAGGTCTTTAGCTATGAAAATTATATACAAGGAAATTAGGGGTGTTGCAGTACTTGGTTGCAAATAATTTGCCATCTGGTGTTGGGTCAGAAAATGCAATTTCATTAGTGTTGAGAAAACAACCGAACATGAAGCAGTTCCTACAAAATAAAGAGGAAAAACCATTTATTAACTAAAACTTTGGATTTTGATTAAACATACATGTTAAACAATGTATGTAACTGATTAAAACCATTATTTTTGGTACCAGAATGCCTTGGATTTAGAGATGGATGTCCCATGGCATCATCTCAGACGAGAAACTCAAAGATCCAGAGTGGAAAGAAAAAGAAAACCAATTTCCTCAAGTTGTCTTACGACTTCCACATGTGTGCCATGGCATGTGCATACTATACAGATGTTTGAGAAGGCTAAAAACAAGTCTAAAATTTCACCTATAATTGAAAGTACTGAAAATGAAGCAGTTAAAAGGGGTTCAAGGCTGATGAAACGGCCCAGTGACTTAAGGGCACTTACTGCCAAGCCTGACAGCTTGAGTTCAAACTCCAGGACCCATATGGTGGTGGGAGAGAAGCACCTGCAAGTTGTCCTCTATATACACACGCTCAACCCCCCTCCCCCACACAAAAATAGGTAAATAAATGTTAAAAGATAAAAACCCTCCAGGGGATTCTGTAAGATAACTAGCTATACTCTCTATGATAGCGAACTATAACCCTCTATAATCATGAGCCTCCAGATTAAATACTTTATTTTATAAGTTGCCTTGTAATAGACAAGTAACAAAAAGTACTGGTCTTCTTGCAGAGGACCCAAGTTTGGTTCCCAGTACCCATATCATATGCTCAGCTCCAGAGCATATGATACCCTCTTCTGGCCTCCAAAGATTATACTCATCACATATATACAAACACATGGACGTAAAAACAATAAATTTTAAAGACAAAATGAGGTGTCCATGGTAGTGCATTTTTGTAATTCCAGCACTTGAAGCAGAAGAATCACTAGTTTGAGGCCAGCCAGAGCTAACAATGAGACCCTATCTCAACCATAAAATTCATCTGAAAAAGAAAAATGAAAGGAAAAAAAAAAAGAATTACACTTAAGCTTGGCATGGAATACATATTGAGTTATTCCCTTCTAATGTCAACATTTGCTTTAGTCTGACTTTCACAGTATTTATACAGAAATGTTTTAGCAAAATTCTTTTGTTTGGCTCATGAGCCAAGGGAGGTTCTGGGAAAGCTAATAAGCCATTATGCAAGGTCTAGGGCTATTCTGTCTTCTTACCTGACAGTGTCTACCAGTCGTCTTGCAATGCGCTTTCGTCTTTTCAACCTGAAGACCCAGATTCTACTTATTCCACAGATTGCAGGTTCTGGTACATCTGAACACCGCCAAGCTCTAGAACATTCTTTAGTGGCACTTGGTTCCGAAAGGACACGAAAGGCCTGCAATGACACACAGTCTATAGTTAAAACCACAGACTTTTCTTTTAAAAAGCAAACAAAAATACAAACTTTAAACAAAACCTGTCCATAGTTAATCTAAAAAAAAAAAAAAAAAAAAAAAAAAAAAAACCAGTATCTTGCTATTCCTTAAATTCTTAAATTCTTATATTTATGTGCATAAGGGTTCATTTGGCCATGTAGAGATGTGTGCTTGTGTGCCTGATGTCTGCAGAGGTCAGATGAGGGCACCGGATCCCCTGGAACTGGTGTAACAAATGGTTATGAACCATGCATTGACAATAAGCTTAAAAGCTTCTGCATACTAAAGGACACAATATGGTGAAAGACAACTGAGAAAAAATATCTACAAACCATATACATTGTGAGGAGTTTAAGTCCAAAATATACAAGGAAATCAACTTAATAGCAAGAAAATAACCCAAATTTAAAAATGAAACAAGGGCCCAGAAATATGGTTCAATAGGAAAAGCATTTGCTGCACAAAACTGACAATCTGATGTTTGCTCCCTAGATCTCACAGTGGAAGGAGGAGAACCAACCCCACAAGTGCCACACTCTCATACATCATGTACACAACCATAATAAAATAAAATTTGAGAAGTCAGAGAAGGGTCTGACTACCCTTTTTGAAAAGGAACTACAAATGGCTCACAGGTGTTTAAAGAAATGCTCAATGCTACTAAAATCAAGAAAATGGAAATTAGAACAAGGAGGTATCACATCTGTTAGAATGGCTATATAAAAGTAAAAAGTCTTGGCTAAGATAGGAAATAAAGGGAACCCATATATGTAGAGTGTAATAATCAGTAATGGAAACAGTATGGAAGTCTCTCAAAACAAACACCAAAATTAAAACTAACAACAAAAGCTATATGGCCCAGTACTCCTGTCAGGCAGGGTATGGCTCTGGAATTAAAAACAGGAGGTTGAAGGTACCTCTCAAGTTTACTGCAGCATCACACACACAACCCAGGACACATAGTCAATAAAGAAATAAAATAATCAAGGAAATTCTATTCAATTATTACACAAAGTCCTGTCATTTGGGTCAAATGGATGGACCCACTGGACATGGCAAGCACAATTAGCAATCACAAAATGGCAGATCCGGTGCAATCTACCAAATACAGAATCTAATAGTTGAACTCACTGAAGTAGAGAGTAAAATCTCTATTGTCAACAACATTAGTGAGGGAAGGTAGTGGAGAATGTCAATGTTTCACTTAGATAAAGTTCTGGAGGCTTCTGCATGTTAGTTTTAATGTAAATATGCATACATGTATGTTATGTCCAGTATAGTTAAGACAGAGTTAAGCCAGACCCAGTAGCACAGGCCTGAAACACAGAAGGTGGAGTCAGGAAGATCACAACTTCAAGGTCCATCTTATTAACTCGCAAATAATTTCTTCCAAAAAGTACAACCTGGTGTTTTAATCTATGATGACATTATGGGTTAGCTAAGTAAATCAAGGCAGTTAACATTTTTATTACCATACTCATTTTCCTGTGGGAAAAACACAGAAGATGTAATTTCAACAAATTTCAAGACCGTACACACATGTACAAACACAGAGTGGTACTGGAATCAACCTAGAACCTTGTGCATGCTAGCTAAAATGCTCTACTGCTGACCTGCAATATCCATCTCTCATTCTTTTGTTGTCAGCAAAAGTGATCTCTGCCTTCTTTCCCAGAACCAACTTTATTACCGTATAACTGACAATTAATGCACATCAGGTTATACTGGTAATACAAACAAGCTCCTTTTCTCTGATTTATAGTATCAAGATAACGGTTTTTTTTTTTTTTTTTTTTTTTTTTGAACACTGCTAATCAGTGTCTAAAACAGATTCTAGTTGAGTATAGTGGCAAACCCCTTGAATTCCAGACTTGGGAGGCAGAGGTAGGATCTCTATGCATTCTATTCCAGGCCAGCCACAGCTAGAGATCCTGTCTTAAAAAAAAAAAAATACACACATACATTCATACATATATATTCCAATTGAGAAATAAGTAATGACTATTTTGCTAAATATACCCACTAAGTGCTTATGCTGTGTAGTAACTTAGGTCTACAGATTCTTATATTTAAAAAAAAAAATTACTGAATTTTTATACTTCTAGGTAGGGAAAAAGCTACATGAAAACAAGACTTATTCTGCTTAAGACAAAATACTAAATACAACATAGGTAAGTGGATTTAATTACAGTCAAACATATTTCAGTAACCTAAGAGACATACACTAATACAGCATACCTGTTTGATAGGCTCCGCTATTAAACATCCCACTACTCTCTTTTCATCAATAAAGAGGAAAGTTTTGGTTTTGTTTGGACACTTGGGAACAATCTGATGGAAGCCCAATTCCAGATCCACAAGTTCTTGGACATCTTCTACCTAACAGTGTTAAAACACAGGTGAATTTGTATTTAAAAAAAAAAAAAAGTCACAAAACTAAATTTGTGTATGCTCATAAAACATGATCACCATCATTTAGCTTCTTTAACCTCTATTTCCTAAATTTACATACATTCAAACTTATTTCAGAACTGATGAACACACCTGGTACTTAAGAACCCACTTTAAAGAATGCTTTTAAAAGACTCAGAATCCAAGTAGAGAGGAGTCGTCCAAGGCACCAGGTGGATTCATTTTAGTGTTATTTATTATTCCTGTTAGCAACATTCAACTCAGGAAACAGAAGCAGCAACAACTTGAGAACTAACACATCTGACCTAGATACTGTTAAGACCCTATGAACTGTGAAAGCTGTTGGCACACCAGTTTGCACTTCACTATGGTGGGTTTGTTGAGTGAGGTGAGAACAAGAAACAATTCCATACCTTTTTGATGGCATAACTTGGATCCTGTGGCAGGACCAATACAATCTTTCCATCCCAAAACTCTGCTACTACCCGTTCTCTCTTCCAGCCCTGCCAAATGGGGGAAGGGAAAAAAATATCAATTTATAAACAAAACACATAACATACTTTGGTTGGGAGAGGAGTGGTGGTCAAACAATAAGTGACAGGAAAGGCAAGATAAAGGCTCTGGCCTTGACCACCCATGCTGTAGACAATTCTCTCTGTAGTAAATGGATGAAAATATTCATGGATGTTCAAGTGCTGAGAACAAGCATTTAGCCCTAACAGGACATTTATACCAGTCTAAGACTCAGAACATCACAGAAGAGAAAATAGAAAGTTTCAGAAGACAAGAAGGGCTGTGAAGTGCCATCTTGTGGGCATGAGGCAGCAATTGCAATCCTGAACTCAACAGCAACTATAGCTGCTGAATTATCTGAGGCAGGCAGGCAGGCAGGCAGGCAGGCAGGCAGGCAGGCAGCTGAGTTCCCAGAAGTGGAAGACCCTGAAGAAGTTAAGAATGGACTAAAGAGAGGTAAACCCAGGTAATACTGAAGCCCAAAAGCTTTCTCCTTTCAGCAACCCAGCATAGGACTGACCCTACATTGTGTCTGATGTCTGAATGTGAAATGTTTCTCACAGGTTAATGTGCTTGAATACTTGTCCCCTGCTGATAGCACTGTTTGAGAAGGATGTGGAACGTTCAGGAAATGGAGGAAGTGGGCTAACTGGGGGTGGGGGGGGAGGCTTCCAGGTTTTACAGTTGGGTTCCATTTCCTGTATACTCTCTGCTTCCTGACCACAGATAACAATGGGAACAGCTGGATTCCTCCTCATTCTACCACGTCAGAAACTATGTCTTCATATAGTGGGATGGTTACCTCCCAGTATAATCCAGAATAAACGCTTCCCTCTTTAAATTAACTACTGCCAAGTATTTTGTCACAGTAGAGAGAAAAGTAATTAGTTCTAGACAAAGGAATGTGGAAACTCATTCATATATTCCCCCCTTAGTGTTTCTGTCTACATCCCTGTGTAGAACCTTAAAGGGATATAGTCCTCAAGAGCCTTCTAATTGTGCTGCTATTGCTCTACTTCATGGCTTCTGCCAGCGAATCTTCTCTATGCATGTGCATATGTAACATGGATGCACTGGCAATGTCCTTACATTTTTGCCCCTATATTTGAAAAGAATACATGCTCATTGTTTTACTACTCTAATCCCAATATCCTGGAGAGTGCAGGGGTTTACCTAATCTAGGACACTGGGATTGCTAAAGCTAAAACAGCATTATGTAACAACCTAACCTTTAGGCTTAGGTATAGCTCCAGTCGTGTTTGCCTAGTATATACAAGGGCCTTAGTTTGATGCCCAGCACTGAAAGGTAACAGACAAAGTTAACTTTTTAATATCATCAACCTTAGCTATTTTTATTTTCCAGGGTGTGTATGTGCCAGGTAGAAGAGGACATTTATGTGTCCTGCTCTTTCATTCTCTTATTTCCTTGCGACAGGGTATTCAGTGAATCTATAATTATATAGGCACGTAACAGAGCCCAGAAATCCTTTTCCACGCTCCCTCTGACAGCTGTGGGGTTCTAGGCTCCTATGCAGCCACATCTGGTGTAGCAACCACTTTTACCCTCTAAGCTTGGGGTTCTCAACCTTCCTAATCTGAAACCCTTCAATACAGTTCCTCATGTTGTGGTGATCCCCAACCTTAAAATTATTTTCATTGTCATTTCATAAATGTAATCTTGCCAGGACTGGAGAGATGGCTCAGAGGTTAAATGTAATCTTGCCACTTTTATGAATGTAAATATCTGATATTTCTGATGGCCTTAAAGAGGTTGTGACCCACAGGTTGAGAACCACTACTCTAAGCCATTTCCCCAGCTTAATGTGTTTGTTTTCTTAAGACAAGGTCTCATTCTCACAGCTCGAACTGACAGACTGGCCTAAAACTCGCTGTGTGCCAAAGACCAAATCTGAACTCACAATGATCCTCCTGCCTCAACCTCTTCCCAAGTTCTGGGATCATAGGTAGGAGCTAACATGCCCAGCTAACTTCTACTGAAAGTAGTGAAATGTTAATGGATATACAGATCTTTCAGCAAAACCAAAGGCACAAAATGACTCCTTCTATACAGCTTTGCCTTTAGAACAAAGTGAAAGACTTCTCGACTCACCACATATTTAATTCCCTCCAGAAACCTGTGGTGATGCTGGAGATGTTGCACTTCGTCTTCAGGGTTGGAAGCAGTATAGATCATGCCACAAGACTTACATATAGTCGTCCCAAAATGTTTCTGACCTGCGTCCTTGAAGAATAAGGAAGCAAACAAAAGCATAAATGTCAAGAATTGAATGAACAATGGGCCTTCTTTAGGAAGGACACGAAAAGACCAAGAAAAAGTAAAAGGCTCACTTCAAAGAGAAGGGAAAACATTCTGAAACTTCCGTATTAATCATTGCTTTTGTCTTTAAACCATTTAGAGTGTTAAATTCTTTATCCTTAAATATTAAGACTTTTAGCCTCAAGAATTGATGAAGTTCTACAAATTCCACTCTCAAAGCACTGTTTCTAATGTCACTGAAAATATTAAGATTCTGAGTTATTTAAGACAGGGGCTGGTAGTTTTCTGTGAAAAGGCAGAAGTAAATATTTTAGGCTTCAGACCATGTGTGTTTTGTATTTGTTGTATTTGAATAAGATTTATTTGAACACTTGGTCCTTGGTTGGTGGTGCTGTCTGGGAAAGTTATGGAACCTTTAGGAGGTACAGCCTTGCAGAAGCAAGGACAGCACTTGGGGGGATAGGCTTTGAGAGCTTATAGATTTCTCCCACTCCTTGCTGTTGTGTCTGCTTCCTGTGTGAGGCTGAAATGTGGCCAGCCAGCTTTCTACTATGGCTGCCTGCTGTGTCTTCCTCATGATTATGATTCCCCTCTGGAACCAGAAGCCAAAATAAACTCTTCTATGAGTCATGGTATTTTTAATCATAGCAACAGAAAAGTAGCTAACATAGTTGTATATTCTTTTATTTGCTCTAAAACTTCTGAAAACCTGAGTCTGGAGCCACAGGCTTATAATCACAGCTACTTCAGAGGCATGCAAGTTCAAGGTCAGCTTGTACAACTTAGTAAAATTCTGTCCTAAAATAAAAAGCAGTGTAGCTTAGTGGCAGAGCCTTGCCTGTCCATGAAGGAGATCATTGGGCTTAATTCCTAGAACCATAAACAAAAAACCATATAAAAAATGTTAACTATTATTTTCAGTTAATAGATATTGGAACTTGATCCATAGTTTGTTAAACTTAGTTCTATTTTAATGTTGTTATTCCCATTCCATCTTCTGTTGATAAATGATTTTCTTACATGGGAACAAACCATTCATAACACTACAATACTAGCACTACAAGCTCCAAAGCACTGGCTAGCTTTGAATGCTACTACAACAAAGCTAGCAGTTACAACCCTAGAAACCTAACCCAAGATAACCATGCTGAAAGGCTGACTGCAGGTTCTACAAGTGTAAGGGTTTATTTTAAATTTACTCACAATGACAAACTGGGCTTTTCCTCCTTTAGTTGTATCTCTGGAATTCATATTTTTCTGCACAATTGTCTGTTTCAAGACATAAGTGCATGCAGTGGATCCCATAGAAGACTGTTCTTCAGGTGGAGATCTTGAATGGGAAAGTTGGTAAATAACAATGAACAGTGAGAAACTTGAGGTCCACCCAGAAACAATAATTTACTCAAAGAAGCATAATGAGGAAATTCAGTGTCAAGATTCAAATTCAGATCTGACTTATATTCAAATAACTTTCTTCTGTAGTATCAGGCACACACATATATATAATTACTTTGAAAGCTAACTTTACTCTAAAATGGACTTTCCTTTGCTGTCAGATCTTAAGACAATATTTACCCACTTAAATAAAGATGTTAAATAAAGATACATACATGTTCATGTTGAATCTCACAGGACCAAGGCAACCACAGTCACCAATATATTAGGATCCAGCAACTTTTTACTTGGGCACTTGAGTGTCAGTGAGAAACTGTCTCAGAAAATCAAGTAGACAGCTCTTTAGCAATGTTATCTAAGGTTGACCTCTGGCTTCCACAGGTATGTGTGTACATGTGCACAAGGATTCACATGAATGTACATGAGTGGGTAATCTTGGCCAAAATTTTCTTTGCTGAATACCTAATCATTCAACACCAAATAGGTGGAAAAAAAAAAAAAAATCAGTGTTTTAAGTAAAATGTTCAGACAATATAGAATGTGGATTGATCTTCTACTTGTCATGTTCTCTACCTACCTACACAAACTCTTCATCACGGTAGTTAGTTTCAGCCATACTTATAATAGTATTAAACTACTCTTAATTATTTACTTCTATGGCCACAATTTTTCCCACCTATAAAATGCAAACTACTAGTACCTATGATTACAAATGTTCATTAAAATTTATTGTTCATATACTATCACTTAGAGAAGGCAACATAACCCAATGCATTTTGATTCAAATGTGAATTCAATTCTTGGCCCTAGCACTGAGCACCTACTAGCTGTGCTGGCTAAATTATTCAGTTTCCTCAGCTAAGATGTAATAATAACACTAATAGTATTTACCTTTTAGATTGTCCAGAGGATCTTTTTTGTTTCCTTAAGACAGGGTTTCTCTGTGTAGTCCTGCCTGTCCTGGAACTTGCTTTGTAGATCATGCTGGCCTCCAACTCAGAGATCCAACTATCTCTGCCTCCCAAGTGCTGGGATTAAAGGCATGTGCCACCATACCCTGCTTTTTAAAGATGGTCTGTGTGTGTGTGTGTGTGTGTGTCCTGAAGATCTTTAAGTGAAATAGTGAACTAATTACTACAAGTCAGGTACTATATAATAATGTAACAATTATTATTCAAGTCCATAAAGAGCTATTCCATCTCTATGGAAAACAAAAATAAAAACAAAAACCACCTACATCTTCTATTCTCAATATTATTCTTATTTCCTCTTAGTGGTACAGACCAAAAGGGGGAAAAAAAAGCTCTTCAGGCCTTATAAGATAAGAAGAAGACTATATAATGAAATAGTATAGAGCAAAAATAATTCCTACCTTTTTGTGTTCACTGAAGAAACACTGAAGATGGGATAGATGACTGACTCAGGAGAAACTGTTAGGGGAAAAACCAGCAAATTGCATTACCAAAGAAAATCTAAGCTGACTCATAAGACTTTGAAGGTTAGTAAGAACAAAACATTTGCATTACCTGACTTAAAGAGTCAACCATAATCAAGATAGTACAAATTGACAAAGAGACAGGCAGGTCATTGGAACAAAGGACTTCAGAAATTACCCCATACAAATAAAGTGACAATTTTTTGGCAGAGTCAAAGGTAGTTATTGACAGATGGTGCTAGAACAATTGGGCACCTGTTCACCAATCAAAATGTAAGTTATGAAAGTATAGGCTAAATCCTGTGACACTGGATTAGAGACATCAATACGAACTCATGCTAAAACATGAAGTGAAGACACACAGAAACAACTGTCTGGAGAGGGCCTGGAAGCAACAGCATTCTAGTAACACTTCTACTCAGAGCCTAGATCTTGATTTCTAAATACCATTCTCCAATAAAAGGAGTCAAAGCTCTAGCTGACTCTAGGACTGGAGCAAAGGAAATACAGAATGAGCCCATAGCAACATGTAAAAATCAGGAACTAAGACAGCGCTCAAAAAACAAAGATGGAGTTAGAGGAGAATCATCAAGGAAGCACACAGGCCACTTAGCGGGAATATGGAAAACAGAAACAAGAGATCCTGACTAAATAAGGTGGAAACAGAGAACCCACCCCAGAAAGTTATCCTCTGACCTGCACACATGTACCATGCCATAAGGGCTCCCATAGCTGCACACACAATAATAGAGAGCTTAAGAAATTTGGTCAGAGATTACTTAAGGATAAATTTTTCTTTCCTGTTTTAACCTAAAATCTCCTTTCCTGCTTTTTAAAACATACTGCACTGCTTTACAATAACCCTTTAAAAGGCCCAGAAAATATTAAGTGCATATAAAATTCCATATTGATATACAGTGAAGCTTGTTACAAGTTGCAAGGTTGATTAATGCAGATTTTCTTACTTACTTGTCTTGTTCTCATCAAGTGAATTCTCTGAAGGCAAATTATGTTTATCAAGTTTATATTCTTTTGAAGAAACTACAGCATCTGAGGAATTCTGAAAATTATGAACAGGTTAAAAAATATAAGAAATTCTAATTCTTAGTAGTTTTCCCTTGGGTGGATGAATATCAATAATTGATCATATGTAATATTTCAGAGCATGATTCATCAAATTCCAATCTACTTTTTAGAATTTCCTCTGCATTCATTGAATATGGATCATCTTTTAAATGTCAGAGCATAGACATAGACTGCAGTTCTTGAAAAAAAAAATGCATGCTTCAAGGACTAGAGAGATGGTGGTATAGTTAAGAGCTCTGGCTGCTCTTCCTGAGGACTTAGGTTTGGGCCTCAGCACCCACATGGTTCTAGTCTCTACCTCCAGTTCCAGGGAATTCAGTTCCCTCTTTTGGCCTGAGGGCACTAGACACACATGCATACACCTACACAGTCTATTCTTTTCATAATAATAAAATTAACCATTAAAAATTAGTGATAAACTGTCTCAAACTAGAGAGTGAAAATTCTCATTATGGACTTTAAAAAACAATAACTAGGGCCACAGGTAGATTGGTAAAGTGCTTGCTGTGCAGTAGGATTCCAGCACCTGGTAGTACTTGTAATCTCCAGGCCAGAAAAGCACAGACAGGAAGCATAATTGGATCTGGGTCAATGAAAAGACCCAGTCTCAAAAAAAAAAAATCTCCAAATAGATGGTACCTGAGAAACACTTGCCATTGGCCTCTCATTTCCAAGGTGTGTGCATACATATGCTACATATGCATGTACACATATACATAAATAATAACAGCAACCACATTCTGGAATCACTAGAGAAAGTTTTACCTATAATAATTCCTACTTTTTGATAGTAGCAGAGAACAACAAAAAGCAAAGTACAAAAAAAGTCCAGAAAACACTACCTAAAGCCTAAAGGTCTCATTTTTCTACCTGTCTTGTAACTTTATTTTCTCATTTTATAAAGGTGGTCCTCCAGACTGTACAAAAAAAAAAATCAAATTTCATTTACTCATGTGTTCTACATAATTATACACATAATTTATACCTAAACTTTATTAAAATCCCAGCTGTTCTTAAATGATACATTTAACTTTACCTTTTTCGGCTTTTCGTTTTTACTTTGTGCATCCAGTAGCTCAACATTCAATTTCTCTTCCACAAACAAGGACTTTGGGACTTGCTTTGCCTCCAGGACAGCATCTTCAGTCATCTCTGCTTCAGTTTTATCTAAGTGTATTGGTAATGACTCATCTTCCAGGGATGATTTTTTAAGAGTTTTTCTTTTCTTAAGAAAAAATGCTGCTCCACCCTGGAGTGTAACTTGTGGTTTTATTTTCTGGCTTAGAACCCGAGGAGGAGTGTTTGGATGATTTTCTGCTGGATAACAACTATTCTCTTTATTTACAGCTGGCTTATAGCTCATTTGATTTGGCTTGGAATTTTTAGGGTTTCTTGATAAAGACTTGACGTGCTTATAACTTGGCTGATATTTAGCAGTTAAACTCTTCTGTGTTTTTTTGTTCTTCTTGGTATAGACTGGTTTTCTCTGTTTTTCTGACACACTAGGAAAAGATTTATCTTCATTTTTAGTTGCTAAACAAATAGACCTACATTCTCTTATCAACTTCCTCTCCAGTGGATTGAGGTATTGCTTATTTTTATTGTAGAAAGATACAGTTGACACAGTGGATTTAAATAGTGAACTGTAGTTTGAAAATGACAACCTATTATTTTCCATTATTTTGAGAGGACTTGAAGTGAAATGGTCTTGGTAGGAGCAAGACTTTCCTTCCATTTGATCACTGCTTTGATAAGTATGTTTTTTACTAGGTGATGGAAATAGATTTTCAGAAAGGCTTAAATTTAATTTGCTTGATGAAGTATCTGTTAATAGGCTATAAAAAGAAAAGAAACAAAGTTCATCAGTAAGTTCAGCATTTTTATTCAAAATTTATTTAGAGCTACTAATAAATTCCCTACTAGTCATACAAACATAATGCACCCCCCACTTCATTGACATATTCATATTATCAATTAGTTAAATTAACAGAATCCTCGAATTCTGTCTTTATTAAATAAAGCATTTAAATATATTTTGAAAGATAACTTCTATAAGCCAGGCTTGGTGGCACACACCTTTGATCTCAGTACTTCAGAGATCTTGAGTTCAATGGCAGCCTGATCTACATACAGAGTTTCTAGATAGCCAAGACTACAGACCCTGTCTAATCCCAATACTTAGGAGGCAAAGGCAGACAGATCTCAATGAGTTTGAGGCCAACCTGGTCTAAATAGTTAAGACTGTCTCAAATGAAAAACAAAACTTTTAAAAAGCCAAAGGGTTAGAGGGATGGCTCAGCTGCTAAGAACATTGGCTGTTCTTCCAAAGAACCCAGGTCTGATTCCCTGAACATAGTGGTTCACAAACTATCTGTAACCTCAGTCCATTTTATGGGGATTGCATCCATCTGGTACACAGACATGATATAGACAAAACAGGAATTAAATTTTTTTTTAAACTTAAAAATTATTCTCCATGTATTTTCCTCAGTTAGCTGTTAAAATACCTGTGGCAAATTTTCCGTAATAAACTGTCTCTTTGCGGCCTTTTGTATCTAGCATGACTAGATTTTTCTTTCTTAAAGAGTTCCTATGTAGCCAGACAGTAGTGTCACATGTCTTTAATCTCAGCAGAGGCAGGCGGATCTCTGTAAGTTAGAGACCAGGCTGGTCTACAGAGCAAGTTCCATAACAGCAAGAGCTAGAGAGGGAAACCTTGTCTTGGGGAAAAATAAGCAAACATGCCTAGGGGAGGCCTTATCCTCTCTGAGGAGCAAATGGGAAATTGGGGGAGGGGAGTGAGGGGACCAGAGGAGAGGAGGGAGGGGGAACTGGGATTGGAATGTAAAAAATAAATTAATAAAAAAAATTAAAAATACTTTAAAACAAGAGTTCATATGTACAGGTTAAGATTTACCTATCACCATTATCAGCATTCAGAGCATGTCGTTTCCTCTTCCTTGGAGTAAAAGTTGTCATCATCTTAACTGAATTCCTAAAAGCAATAAATAGACCAGTATAATAAAGTTATCAAGTGTATAGAAAATGCACTATGTCAAAATTGTGTTTTAAAAATCTGAATCCTGTCGGGGTAGTGAGTACATATCTTTCAACCCAGCAATTAGGACGCAGAGGCAGGAGGATCTCTGAGTTCAAAGCCAGTGTGGTCTACAGTGGGAGTTCCAGGACAGCAGGGGCTTCAATGCGGAAACATTTTCTGGGATGGGGGAGGGGTCTGAATTCCAAATAAGTGATTGCAAATAAACACCCAAGCTAATAGTGCCTCATGTAGACAACACTGGCCTCAATTCACTCTAGCCAAGGATGAACTTGGAGAACTTTAAGTCTTTCAGGGCTGAAATCATAGGCTGAGCCAGCATGCGTGACTCAAAATAACAGATTTTTTTTTTTTTAAAGCAAACTAATCAGATGTGAGGGTGCTAATGGGAGGAAGAGGCAAACGGATCCTGAATTTGGGGCCAGCCTGGGTCACAGGGGTCGCAAAAAGTAAAGTAAAACAGAGACTTAAATAGTGACAGGAGGGTGGGTTGGGGAAATATTGCACACACCTATGTATTTAGAGCAGAGAGGTGGGCGAGCCTACTAACAAGGCCAGGTGGACCCTAATTAGAGGCACACTTTCCTTTAATTAAACTAATGTCAAGTTTTAGCGCTCTGGCAGGCCTTCCTCGGAACTGCTCTCCTTCCACAATGTCCACCGATGGATGGATGCTCTTGTCCCCAGCTTCCCTCACAACCCATGCCTCCTCCATATTCCACTTAGCATACATTCTCGCTAACCATCTCCTGGGCAAGGGAATGAATGTGAGGACGACAGTCGTCCCCACAGGTCCCTCCCAGCTGGGCTCCCTCGCAGGAGCTTCCTTATTTATGAACGACCCGGACTTCGTCAGGCAGCTGCTAAGGACATACAGCAGGCAAGCCTCTTCCCATAGCGAGATGACTCTAGAATATTCTGCCCTTCCTTCGGATCCGGTATGTCAGTCCCACAGAATTCCACAAGCGCGACCTCTAGGCTAAACGGAAAGTCCGCGGGGATCAGGGACGACCCATCCCGGCTGGTGAGAAGCTGGCACCCGGGGCAGGAGCCCCGCGTGAGGAGCAGTCGGCGTACGCCCACAGCCAAGCCCCTGCCCCGTGACCTTACCCGCGTTCCTCGGTCTCTCTCGGCGTCCACTCGGGATGAGGACTCTGCACCTCGGCGAGCTCCCAACTCTCCTCACAGGAGCCCGGCGCTCTGCCACTCCGTTCAAATTCACGCGCGCCACTTGAGACCAAAGCTGCTGCATTCTGATTCGTCGCTGCTCAACGCCTTCTAGAGCCTGAGTCCTGATTGGTTTCTCACTAGTCCTTGCTCCGCCCTCTGGGGGTTGTGGCTTCCAAGATTCTCCCGCCCTTGTGAGGCAAAGTGGACCCAGTTCAAGGAAGCCATGCCTCCTCAAAAAAAAAAAAAAAAAAAAATCTGGCAACCTCCGGTTCCAGGCCACAGGCCTGTGATAGTGCACTATGGGAATTGTAGTTTATGCTTCAGCCGAATCCGAAGTAAGAGTCTGAGGTAGTTTGTTGTAAGCAGTGTAATAAAGGGGTATCTCCAAGATACTGGAGGCTCTTATTTTTCATATTTAAAGTCTGATTATCAGTTTTGCTTTTTTTTTAAAATCATTACTTAGGTTTCACTACTTTATCCTTCAAATTATGTCATGAACATTCACTAAATTGTAAGTGTTAAATACTTCACATATTTTAAAAGGTTTTATTATTTTTAATTATTCTCATGTCTGTGAGTGGGTATGTGCGTTTAAGTGCAGGTACCAGCAGAGGCTAGAGGAGTTGGATTTCCTGGATTGAGCTTTCGACAGATGTAGGTCACCAAATGTGGGCATTAGGAATTGAACTCAGGCACTCTTCAAAAGTATATGTATTCTCAATAGCTAAGCCCAAAAAATATCTCCAGCTTGATGGTTTACATATTTTATTTCAGTTACTCCTCACCACAACCTATGAAATTTGTATTGCCATTACTACTTTATATGGAAGGCCTGCGTCAACCCACCCAGCACTACTTTATCATGTGCCCTTAGCAAGTGGAAATGTTTTTAAACCACTCACAGGTTTTAACAGAGTCATCAGCTTTTAGCAGTCTTGAACACATGTTTAGTTCTAGGTAAGTTTAAGTGTTCCTCATAGAACAAAATTGGTGGTAATGAAGTGACAACAAATGACTAGCAATTTGGCTATTTACATGATTCGTGAATACCTCAACTTCTGTGTCAGAAGATACAATGAAAGTTCCCATTGGGTAATGGTAGAATAGTGCATTTCGTTGAGGGAGATGTCTTTGACTCTGGGGCCTCGATACCCCAAATTCACCTACACATTAAAATCCGGCCGTCTCCTGAGTTCTAGAATCCTGATTGTAACAGGGTCTCAGACCTTAGCACAGATGACTCCATGATGGAAATGCCATTTAGGCTGTAAATCTCACCAAGCAGGCAGCACCACAAGCCAAAATGGAAAACAAAGACCTAATTCATCAAAATCCATAGTTCTGGGAAGATCTCTAAATGTGCTTGGCTTTTTGGCTTGTGTAGTTCTGCTTCTGGCTAACAGTTCTTGTATGTCAACTCAGGACATGGTTTTGTGTTTAAAAGCTCTACCTGAGAAAGGCTCTGGGATCCACTGGGATTTTGAACTCCTAATGTGGTCGCCCACCAGCAAATAAAGACTTTCTATTGGCTTAAACCACGTCCTAACAGTCTTCTCTGGTGGTTACTCCAGAGCCCTGACCAGCACCATGAGACCCAGGATAAAGGTGGGGTCTGTAAAGCAAAAGAACCGGGATAGGTGAAACTGGCTGATAGCAGGCTACAGCTTGATACTTTTTTGAGAGAGTTAAAGTCAGCGTACTTCTTTATCACACAGGTTCTCCTAGACTGGGATTTCTTGTTTTTAGGGAAGACCAGGCTCTCTAGGGATCCGAAAACTTCAGTTTCTGTGGCTTTTAACCTGAGTAACTCTACTTCTGTTTGGTCTGACTTGTTGAAGGGATTCAGTTTGAAATAGACTCATGATTTTGTTTTCAGAAATAAGAAAAATTACCGCCGGGTGGTGGTGGCACATGCCTCTGATCCCAGCACTGGGGAGGCAGAGGCAGGTGGATCTCTGTGAGTTTGTGGTCAGCCTGGTCTACTGAGTGAGTTCCAGGACAGCCAGGACTGTTTCACAGAGAAACTCAGTCTCAGGAAAAAATAAAAAATAAAAATTACTAAGTCAAACCTAGGTGCTGTGGAACATTTTGTAAATTTATACTAACAAGTTTTGAAGTCAGAGATTTGGGATCTGTCCAGTCTTGTGGCTAATAAAGGGTAGACATTAGATTTAAAGGAACAATAGTCAAGATGCAAGCCCCAATATACATAGAGCCTCCCGAGAATACCAATAAGAATTCATTTGAGTGCCTTCGACATTTTGCCCTTGATGCACAGCAATTTATTTAATTGTAACAGGGCAAGACAGAGCAAGGCTCTCCCTCCATCTTGTATTCTTGCTGAGGCCATTTCAGATTGAACTAGGATTTGATGGAGAATCCCATGGAAAATCACCCAACTGTATTCTGATTACTTTGGTCAAGCCCAAAACATGACAAAACCTCACCTGTGTCAAGTAGTGCAGGAATGAGTTCATTTAAAATTGAATTGACTCCTACTGAGTGCCTCCTGACGTAATGGGTACAGGGACATTTAACTCTGAAAAAGGCAGTTTCTGCATTCCTGGAGCCTATGCTGGTTGAGGGGGAAGGCAGATTAAAAAGTAGTTTTTCCTTTATGTCTTCAAACAAGATGCAGTTTCCCGCTGATTTCCTCCAGCCAGCCGCTAGGGCACAATCCTGTCACTGGGACACCCGCCTCCCGCCAACACGCTTCCCTTCGCCAGGAGTAAAGATGGCGCCGACAGGACGGCGTTGTGACGCGACCGCACGTCCGCCGGAAGTGTCCGCAGGAGAGCCTGGAAGCCGGCTCACCCTCGCGCCGGTGGGATCTTGAGCTTGGCGATCTGAGCCGGAGGTGCTACTCTTCTAGCAGGATCATGGTGTTCTACTTCACCAGCAGCAGTGGTGAGTGACGCCGGACCCTCCGGGGTCCTGCCCGCAGCTGCCTCCAAAGCCGGGCTTCCCCAGCCGCCGCTGGGCTTGGAACCGGTCCTGAAGCGCATCCTCCTGCGGGCGCCTCTCCCACCGCCTTCTGGGTCCTTGCGCGGCCGTCCCCTCTGTTGCCTGTGACCCCCTGGTCAGGGTCTGGTGGGCGCCGTGGGAATGCGCCCCCGCTTTCGTTACACCCTGGAATCATTCTCATCGCACCTGACAGACCCGCCAACGCTTCTAGGGCTTGGGCGGTGTGTGTGTTCCTGCACACCCTCCCGGTCTCCAGCAGCCTGGAGGATCGACGTTGACCAGTGAGACAGGTGCCAACAACTGTGTCCTACAGGAAGAGTACCTTGCCCTCCTAAGAAGGGAGGGGCTGAGGTGCCATGGAAAGCAAGAGAGGGACTAGAATGGCAGTACAAGCCCTTACTGGGCCTAGCCGGTTGACATATGGTAATACGACTGAGCTGTTTTAGGAAGGCCAGAAAGTGGTGTTCTGGTTTCCAGGAAATGCTGTGTCAATTTTATTTCTTTGCCCATGTTGGTCCTTTTGTCCACAATCAATCTCTAATAAACACTCACCCTGTTAGAATAGCTCTGACTCCTTTTGAGACCTAGTTTGCACGTCATGGGTATATATACTTTTTCCGTACCTCCTTAATATTCCTTTGGCACTGCTCTTCTCGTGCGGCATTAAAACCCCGTCTGCTGGAGCTGCAGGGCAGGGCTCTCGAGAGGAGGTCTGTCTTGTCTCCTAAGCATAGTGCCTTATTCATCTAGTTGGCTGCTCGCTCTCTCTCTCTCTCTCTCTCTCTCTCTCTCT